CCTCCCCTCCCCTCCCCTCCCCTCCCTTCCTCTCCTGTCTGGGCCACTACCGTGAGGCAGGGTGAGCCTCACAGGAGTTCTAACAGGCAGGTGAGCATCCCTGTTGGGCTGGGATTTGTCCTGGGGAGAAGAAGGGGGCATTTAAGGACACTGGCTTCGGCCACCATCCTGCCCGTCCCAGGAGTCCTCACCCCACAAACTATCTCCTAATGCAAGAGAAACACCCTGGAGCTTGCTCACTGCCCACTGCCAACCTGGGCATTCAGCCTGAGCACTTTCTCCAGGCTTTCCCTGCTTGTTGGAAAGCCCCTGGGGAGCCTTCCCTAGCTGAGGGATTTTGCTCTCCTCTGGAGCACCTCTGGAAGAAGATGAAGATGTCCCAGAGGGTAAGGCCATCTCCAAAGCTCACCAGACTGCTGCCATCTGGCCCCTTCCCCATGAGCAAGCAGCCAGGGCACAACAGCTTTGCTTGGAGAAGCTCTGTCCCACTTCAGAAATCCTAAGCCCTGTTCCTCCGTTTCTCTTTTCAGTGTGCCAGAATAGCTGGGCTGGGAACCTTCTGCCTTAGTAAACACTGTTTGTCCATAAAGGGCCATGAGTTCTTCCATGTGCAGAAGCCTGTCTTCCAGCTGTTGGAGAACACCTCAGGGGCTCATGAGAAAGAAACTCTTCTTGGTAAGAAGGCAGACGAGTGGGACAGCTTCCTCTTGTGGGGGCTCTGGTGTGCATGCTGAACTGCTGCTGCCAAAGGATGGACAGGAGTCTAGAGATTCTTCATAAGTTCCTGAGAACAGCCTGAGCTCCTCACAAGCACAGACATCCCCCCACCTTTCACTGCCCATCAGGCTGCAGCTTCTGAAAATGTCCCTTTCTGCACTGTTGGCACCTTGAAGGCTGTTTTTGCTGTTCTGTCTGCTCATGGCAGCAGGGAGGATGTGCTGAGGCCCCAGAGATGCACCAGCAGCGAGGGGCACCAGACCCTCTAAGCCTGTTTTCAGAGTTTAACTTCTTTCCCATTTCGATCCTCTTGTTCTAGCAGTCAGGGATATTGCCCCTGGGGACAGGAGTTGGGCCCCTAAAGCTGTGACACTTGGGGATAACTTCCCCAGGCAAGGGAATGGCCACGTGTGGTGGGAGGGCAGAGGATTCCTCACGGGGGCAGCCAAGGCTCGACGTTACACAGACATCCCTGCTGTCCCCTGGGCACCTCAGCCTGGAGGGTGCCTGGGGCTGGGGGCCGGAGGGGGCTGTGCAGGCCTCGTTTCTGGGCTAAGCAGAGCACTTTGCAGGACAGCTCTCTAGAGAGCTCTGCCTGTGGGCTCAGCAGCTGCCCAGCCTTGGCTCCTCATTTGCCCCCTGCTTACTCTTCTCCGGGCTCCTCCTGTGACTGCTCTCCTGGACTACTCCTCAGTATCCCCGGGCGCTCATGTTCCTCAGGACGTGGTGCAGCACCGCGTGTTCCTGTGTCCCTCAGAACACCCTGCAGAGGCCAGGGATGGTGGGTTTGGCCCCATCAGGCTGAGAGAACAACCCTTCCCAGACGGCTCCTGGCAGTGTCATTGTGTTTTCCAAGTGAGTGCGTTTGCTTCTGCAGCCCTGAGCCACTGACCACATCAGAAGCTTCCCAGCTTCTCGTGGGTCAGCAGGTAGTGCCAGGGCTTGTGCACTGCTCGGGAAGGAGCTGGAGGGAGACACTTCCAAGGACTGGATCCTCTTGTCCTCTTGCTTCCAGGACCGGGCTCTATGTAGCACCTGGAAGATCTTCTGGGGAAGGGCCTCTTCAGGCTCCCAAGGGGCAGGTGGAGGAAAAGAAGGGGGAGTGAGGATGGTGGAAGAGCCTAGCAGAACAAGTAAAGAGGGAGCTGGCTCCTGAGATTGCCTGGGTGTGTAGGTTTCGCTTGATCTGTCTTTTGGATCCGACTTTTATCTCAGCCCAGAGGGGTTTGTATGCTTACCCTTCTGATTGCCTCCCCCAGGCTGTTGCCAGGGAGTGAGCAGCTGCTCCTGGTGCTTGGCCAGCAGCAGATGGTAACAGTCACCAGCGCTGTGCTCACGATAGGGCAGAGGGCTCCGCATTCTTGGGATCAACTCCATGTGTGTCTGAGCTTGTTCAACACCTTGGGCTGTTCCTTGAGTCCAACAGGGAATGGCTCAGACATTCACGGGGAGAAGGGCTCAGGTATGGAAGGCACTTTCAGACTTCCCCCATTGCCTCCTCCAGGGGAGCTGAGGGGTAAGGTACCCAGGTCCTTGGGTGTTGTTGCCTCTGAAGAGCTGCTGTCTCCCTGACTGGCATTGTCTCTATCAATAACAGACAAATCCAGAGGACAAAAAGAGGCCCCTCTATGGCAAGGCCATGGCTTAATTCTCCCTCCCTTGGACTTGCTATTAGCCTGGCCAAGACGAGCTGGACCAGAACCAGTTTATTCTGAAGAACAAACCATGCTTCTGGAAGTCTCAAACTGGAATAGTGAAAAATTAAGAGTTTCAGTCCACCTGTCAAAAAACATCTTGTCTTTGGCTTCACTGGCAGAGGCATCAAGCCTTTCTTGCTGGCAGTGTTTGAAGAAGATGATCAGGTGACTGGCTGAGCACTCCCCAGAGCTCCCAGGTTGCTCAGGAAATTTCCTTTCTTTGTGGCTCCACCTATAAGACATTATCTGTCTTTATTTATCCTTTTATTTTTTTAATTCTTGTCTAATATTTTAGAAGTCAGGCCCAGAAGCTGAACATGCAGAAAGCTCAAGGCTTTAACTGAGCAGTGAGGAGGTGCTCAGGAAGAAGAGGGAAGAAACTAAGAGAAGCTGTGTAAGCACCTTTCTGAAACAACAACAAACAAGTAACTGCCACCCTGCTACCTCCTTTCTCAAAAGCAGAGCTTTTTCCAGAAGCCATGGAAAAGGCAAGGAAACCTCAGTTTCAAAGCCTTTTGCTCAGGAAATGTGAATATTTCTCAGTCTCTCCCTGAACCTGAAACTTGACAGCTTTCTTTCCTCCCTTGTCCTGGGTGAGAAGACCTGCCTATGGAAGGAGTGTGAAAGGTGCTGGCATGGGAAGCACATGGACACCAGAGAGATCATGTGCACATCAACAAAGGGACAAGGTGCTTTTCCTGGTCCTAAAAGCCACTTGGAGATATGAAATAAAGACTGTGGTAACCAGCCTCAGCCCTGCTGTGTGTGAGCAGTGAGACCCGGAGGGAGGAGCTGCCAGCAAGCCCCTGCTCTGCTGTGGCTGTGGTCAGGAACACTGTCATCCCCCTGGAATAGTGTTTGGTGGGGCGTGACAATTTTGCAGGGCTAGAGGAGGGGCTTTGTGACAGGGAGGGACCTCCAGGAGGGTCTTTGTCTTCCTTACAGCAGGAGATGCAGTGGGGCAGCTGTGTGTGTGTTCAGAAATGTCCTGGTCTCCAGCTCAGCTCCTGTCCCGTGCATCCCTTGTGCATCTCTCCTGTTCCCTTGGAGAGCAGCCTGGACTGCAGAGGGGAGGGTGGCTGTTGTCCCCATGGGGCTGAGGGAGGCTTGGGGCTTCGTTTCCAAGGGGATGGGGCAGAGGACCATGCCAGGCTGTGTGGCCCATGCAGCAGCTTGGGTCCGGTGAGACTCCCCAGACAGTGGGGACTTTGGAAGCAGGGAAGGGGTGGTGCTGCCCAAGCGTGCAGCTCTCCCAGGGCTTCCCATCACATCAGAGAGCCACGGGCTGTCCCCATGAGGGACGCTCCTGCATGCAGCTGCCACCACGGCAGTGGGGCTCTGAGCTTCCCGCGGGCACCCCCGCCAGGAATGGGGCTCTCTGCTTCCGAGGTGACCCAGGCAGCTTCTCCTGGGGCGGTGCAGCTGGAGCTGGACAGTACTGCAGGCAGCCCTGCAGAGTGCTGACTGACTGGCACAGCCTGCAGCCACCTCCGGG